GAAACCTTGAGTTTGAATATTTTAATTAAATAATAAATAAATAAATATTATATCCACCAAAGTAACAAAAATCAGATAACTAGAGGGATGCTTTCAAAAGAAAATACTTGTAAGCTTGATTTATAAGGTTTAAATAAGATAATATGCCCAACTTGGAATCTGATCAACTCACCAATAATCAATTTGTAAACACCACATTTCACTAACAATTAGTTACTGACAAGTTCATTTTACCAACAGTTTATTTCACCAAAGCTTATTTTACAGAAAAGTAATTCTGATCAATAACATTATAGTTAGGTTAGAATTAAAGTTTAAGTTAGTGTAAATCATAAAAAAAAAACTAGTTATTGAAATGAGCTTTGATATAAAATGAACTTGTTGGTGAGTAATTGTTAGTGAAATGTGATGTCTATTAAGTGATTGTCAGTAAAATAATATAGATCTACCGAACTTAATATACACCATAATAATGCTAAGTTCAATATTTGAAAGTTTGCTATTTGAGGTAAATGATTATAAATTTAAATCGCATATTTTAACTTAATAGATGATTATTTTTATACTCATGAAATTTATGCAAAATAAATGACTAAAAAATGCTATATTAATAGTTATATATATTCGAATTATAAATTTTAAATAGAGTAGCAAATAATCTTTATACCCATAGATTAGTATAACATCAATAACTAGAAAAAGGTAAATATTTGTATATTCGCATTCATTCAAATTAAATTAGAAAGCATATTTAATGAAATACTTACAAGTCAAATTGCAGATTTAAATGTGCAATAAAAGATTATTCAATACAGACCAAATTAATGCAAATTAAAAGTCTAGAAAAGTACTGCTTTTAGATAAGTACATATAAGTTCAAATTGCAAATTAAAAGAGTATTATATATACAATCTATCACATAATCAAACAACTTGGAAATACTATTTAAAGTAAATACTTGTAAGCTTGAATTGTGAATTTTAACAAGTAATTCTTAAGTAATCTGAAAAATATTGTCTAAAGATAAATGCTAAATTGTAAATTTATATTCACTATGCTATTTAAAGAATAATATATAGCTATTGCTTATCATGCTAATAATAAAGTTAATATATATTAAGTTATTAAACTTGAATTTAAGTACTAATATATGGATATAATACTCACAAAGTTAAATTCTGTTAATTGCTACTAGTAAGTTTAAGTTTAAATATAAAACTCTATATAAAATTCGAATTTCATAAATGATAAAAATATGATTTATTTAATATTTTATAAAAAATGTTCAGTAAATAAAAAATATGATTTAATTGAGTAAAGAAAAAATATTAATAGATTTTATATTTTTTTTAAGAAATATCAATTTGTTCAAAAAATCTGGATCAAGTCTATTACGCTTATCCATTACATGATTTCTGGCATCAGAAAATAGGTGCTCTGATGGTACGGAAGATGCTGGCACTGCAAGATATCTTCTTGCTAAAATCGCCATAGTAAGAAAAAAGGTATTGTGTTTATACCACTATTCTAAAGGACAAGATTCTTCGTCAAGAGCAATTGAGGGGAGTTCACAATATTGGTCAAATTCATTAGGCTCAACGTTAGAGTTTTCTGTATGCAAATGCATAAAAAATGCTGATATCTTGGTTTTTTTATGTTGATATGAAGATGTTAAAGATGGATTATTATCATTAATTGATGTTAAATTATCATTAGAGGTTTGTATTGAACATAGCTTATTAAATTGTTGACACATATTCTGAATAGTTGTATGCTGTAAAGCACTAGTGCAGAAATTTAGCTTTTTAAAACATAGATTTAGAAAGGAGCAGCACATGCCTATTTCATTTGGATTATCCTACCATTCAATTAAATTGTCTAAAATTGTATCTTTAACAAGAATTGTCATACTATTTTGTCCAATAAAATATCTAAGCCGACAAGCAAGTTCTTCCAAAATTGGTGTCATGAAACCCAGTATTGGATACTTCAATCCGCTTAAAAATTAAGTGACTTCATCAAAAGGGAAAAGAACTTCGATAAGTTCTTCTAATAATTCAAATTCTTCTGAAGAGGAAATATAAGGGCCTATAGTTTCTGCTCCTTTTCTGACCTTCCTAATTGTATGGTTAGTAAGAGTTGAGTATAATTATATGATAGTAGGTTTTAAATATACAAGACATTCAATAGTATAAAGAGTAGAATTCTAACGTGTATCCACATCTTTAATAACATCAAGTGGCTCTTTAAGCCCTGAAGTAATCTGTAATTGAGCTTCATAAAGTTGTCTATGTTTTTTTTCTTTTGATAAAATTGAGATAAGTGCTTTACATTTTGAAATGATTTTATTAACTTCCTTTAAACCTAAATTGATACTCAATTGAAGCATATTCTAGCACATTTCATATTAGAAATACCCATTTGTTGCACTGCGAACCTGACATTGGATTCATTATCAGTAGTAATAAAAAAAACGTTTTGACAATTAATTTTAAATTTATTAAGATCAGAATTAACAGATTCAACAATATCAGATTCATGATGTTTATCCAACTCTCCAATGTCAAGTATGATCTTATGCAAATCAAATAAATCTGTAAGCCAGTGGCAAGTGATTCCAAGATAGCTATCATGTGTTCACGATGACCAAAGATCAAAGGTTAAAGAAACAGTATCTGATGTCTTTGAAATAAGATCTATAATTTGATTTATTGCAGAATCATAGAAGTTAAATATAATAGTTTTAATAGTATTAACATATGGAACTTTAAATCAGAGATCAAGATTTTTTGTCCAAAGCCTAAAATCATTATCATCAACAATAGAAATAGGCTGAGCATATGCAATTATGTAGCGCACAAGTTGATATATAAGCTTTTTTTGAACATGAGAAGAATAAGGTCTTGAAATTACTTGGTAAATCATTTGTTGCTTTGCTTTTACTAATGTATTTTTAAGTGATTCTTTGGTGATTTGGTATATATCACGAAGATGGGTTATACAATTACTAGTTGATCCTAGCCATACATATTCTGTATCACAATCTTCAAATTTACAAGAAACCTTTTCCACTTCTACTTCTTTATTATCTAATAATTCCAATGCAGTATATCTTTCAAAAAACTTCCAAACAAAACTACCAGGTGTTTTCAGTTTTTTTTTTTTTTTTAGTAACCTTTGTATTTTGAGTAGACAAAGTCGAAGTAGATAAAGCTAAAGTAGATGTAGATGTTGAAGCTAATAATTCAACATCACTTTCTTCATCTTGGTCAGATGAAAAATTAAATTCATTATCAGAATCATTCATCATGAACTTTTTACAATATATAACCAAATAGCAAAACCTCTTCTTCTCTTTGTTATTACCCTTTTATACTATTGAACATTTGATTTTTGGCATTAAAAATACTTACATATTACAAATCATAAAACCAAGAAAACGAGTTCTATACAAGTTAATATTCAGGCTTAAATCGATATGATTTTTATCAACATAAACAAATTGATTATTAATGTTAATATATTTTTCTTCATATTATAATTTACTAACACTAATTCATATAATTTATTTAATTGCATATTCATCTGGTTTAAATTATATAAAAACTAATTAATATCACAGGAATAAACTAGTAGGTTTTATCATATAGCGTGTCCATTTGTATCATTCTTTTCTTTACTAATAACAACCAATCTTTAATTCACATGTTGGTTATAAGAATGACAAAATAAAAAAAATTTTCAATGGCTTTTATTGAAAAAAACCCCTCCTAGTTTTTTTTTTCTTATTATACTATTCACTAAATTTAATAAAAATCATATGAAATCATATGCATGTTAAATAAACTTATACAAAATTATATGTATTATCATAAGCTTATATGAAATCATATGTAGTATACGTAAACTATGCACATGTTAACTTTCATTATTTTAACCAATTGCCGATTAAGACCATGTAACACAATTACTTCATAGGTACATATATATGTATGTATATGAAAATTTAAAAACTTCAATATCTCTATAGCAAGTGGCATACCAAAATAAATTTTCTAAATTTTCGATCTCATAAGTAAAGGGACTAGAACTCACAATCTCTTTGTATAAAAACAATAAGTAAAGAACAATATGTATGTAATAGCATGTTTTAGTTTATCTCCAAAAAGTTAGTTTAGATCTACTGCACTGTACATACATATATATGTACATGTTATCCTTTTTTAATATATAACTATTAAAAATTATTTAGTTGATTAATATAAATAATAGTTAGTTGGCAACTAGTTGACAACTAATAATTAGTTGTAGTTGATTTAGTTGATAGTTAATCGATTAGTTGTTTTTAATTTTTTTAAATCGATTAGTTAAAAAGTTATCAACTAGTTGACTTTTTAACTAATGATTAGGAACACTAGGTTAGGATACCTGTAATGGTAGTTGCATCAGCATGACTAATAGGTTATAATATATTCATATAACAGGTCATATGACATTGTCCTTTGGAACAAAGTTGTAATTACATGAAGGAATGCAAACCAATAATTAGGCAGTGCAAATACTAGATAAGTCCTTATGACTGTGTAAATCTGTTAAAATTGAATAACAAGAAGTTTATTTAGGAAGACCCAAATAGAGAGGTAGTTAAATCTTCAATAGCCCTACTGTAAAAACTAACCTTATAAAATGGATACCAATATCAAAGTAATTGGATAGGCCAAAACCTTTAGATAGGAGATATTACTAACCAAGCCACTAGATCAAGACAGAAGAAAAGAATATCAGACTGACCTGATATACTAATAGACCAGTTATAAGTTCTACCAAGCTATTTGGATTAAGAGTTTGATAAACTAATAAGATATACTAAAGTATTTCAGATATGTTGTAAAGTAGATGCTAGGATTTGTGTAAACTCTACAAGAACATAGTAGTTTAATGATTAGCTCTGACTGCAAGTATTGATTTTACTATAACGATACCTAGATCAACTATAAAAATGAGTACAAAAGACTAGGAGGTTTACCTCAAGGATAAATTAGTCTTAAGGTTGAGATAATGATCTGAAAATCTATGATAACCTAGTGATGTTAATACAGATTATAGGTTCAAAGGGTTTAAAGTAGAACATCCAAACAGAGGTGTTAGATACGACAATTGGTGAAGAACCTTCAGGCGGACTCCTTAAATAGGTAATATAGAAAAGTTACATGTGTAGCCAATTGTATGCTCTCCTGTAGTGGTTCATTAAACCACAATACTAATAAGTGATTAATAAAAGTCAAAAGACCAAAAAGATCATCTTAATACCAAAAAAAAAAAAAAATTTAATCTACTAGTGGAACCCTGACCCCAAACAATTACGAACTAATTTTTTAATAAGATCACATAAGTAAATAAGTAAAGCTGTCCAGATGTTAATTTTACTGGTATAGTTTATTGGTATTATTGCTTAATGCCGGCCTAGCCTATTCCGATCCTAAATTTGGGTTGATCTTCGTGGCTAAAAAAATGGCCAATCAAAATGCAGACACACGCAATAGATTTTATGGATGTTTAAATTCCTCTTGAGCCTAACCCTGATCTATTTCTTAACTTCGTTCCTGGTTAGTTTTAATATTAAATACGCACATGTATTTATTAATTTAACAAATTTGATTGGTTTTGAGTTCGGTATTCTTGATCGAAATGGGATATATCTTTGGGCTTTAGTTATAAACAAAATTAAGATAAATCCTAATTCCCAGACCAAACTATGTAGTAATATCATAATTGTTGGATCGCAACTTTACTCCTGTGTAAATTCCCAAAGTTCCGAGGCCATTACTTCTCGATAATGTTCAACTACATTATGATTAAACAATATATCAAATATCTCATCATCTTCATAACCTTCAGCTAATAACCTAGCAAAAAAACAAATAAACACTCCACACGAATTTGCATCCATTTGTGGTGTTTTTCCCGTTCTAAACTTCATTTTTACCGGCCACTTTTCAAACTCTTTTGCCTTAATAATTTTACTTTGCGTTTTATCTCTATATTCATCTCGCAAATATTGATTAACATTTTCTCTAATAGATTTCTTGTGGCGTTGTCCACCCAGTGAATCCCATATCTCAATTATTCGCTGACCCATTCGCAGTACTGCCAAAACCCAATGTGAATCACTAAAGTTGATCGGAATAAAAACTATCGCTTTATCAAATATACATGTCCTTTTAGTCCAACGTCTCACCCCATCATAGTTATATTCATGATTGGCTGTTAACTTTGTGTAAAAGTATGATGGGAACGCGTGAATTTGTGGATGCTTGGTATTGAGCATTGAAAAATACGTATTGATATGATCCGATGTTAACCAAGCCCATGGATCAAGAAGCTCCTTTATTTTCTTTGTTGTTAAGATATCTGAATTAATTACGATATTGTTGTTTTCTTCGAGGTATTCTTGTAACTCTAGGATGGATTGCTTGGAATATGCGATTTCATCAGGCGGCAGCATCTTACTTTATTAACGTTAGCGCAAAAATGGGACTGTGTAATGGTCGTATACTTTTTTGGAAAAGTAAAATTAAATCTAAATGTGATCTTTTTTGACCTTATAATTTTTGACCAGATATCTTATTTTAGAAATTTTTGGTTGCACCAATTCATAATATTGAGATCACATGGCAAATGATAGCACTTGGGAACGGAAAGTCTACCAAGTCTACGGACGCAAAACATACATTGTTGATACTCCTACACCTACTTTTTTGATATATCAAACATACCCTAAAACTAACCAATAAGTTTGCACGTTATTATAGTAAAAGTTAGTAAAAGGTAGTAAAAAGTATAAAAATTTTAGGGTATGTTTAGATGTATCAAAAAAATGTGTGCATAAGTATTAAAAATGAATGGTTTGCTCTACATGACATGAACTACCCGTCAAATTTTCACTTTACGTGATGATCATCCAATAGCGAGTCTCGTTTTAATGTTCTAACAAAAAAATTCCTCGAGTGGTTTTACTATTACCACTCTAAAATCTAGCTCTATTATAAACGCTAACCTTAACTTAAACGAATTTAAAGATTTTTTAAACACTGTCACGTGAAAATGAAAATTTGACGGCGATCCTGGATAGGGTGTTCAGAATTATGCGATGCTGCATTATGCGCATAATCAACCATTTTTTTGCATCCGCATAATTGAATAAAAAAGCATTTAGATCATGTGGTTAAAATATAATAGTGAACTAAATCAAACTAGTACTAATTTCAATATTGATATCTGAAATTTGATTAATTTAAGGGTAGAGGGCAGTATTTTAAAATTATATATAAACCTAATGGTAAATTTTTTTTATATTTAATTTTATGAAAAATTATATTAAAT